GGTGTCGAATAAATCTGTGTCGAATCGAGCGGTGTCGAATCGTACTGTGGTCAATAGAGTATCACCCGAGTGGAGCATGTAGCTCCTTCTGCCGCCGGCATGGAGACGTCGGCGATGGCACGCACCGACGTTTCCATGCTTTCGTGAAGCGCGTGAAGCGACCGGGAGGCCTCATTATGGACCTCCTCGATCGCCGCACGCGCCTCCACAACACCCTTCTTAATCTCCTTGAGGCCAGCAAAGCAGGAGATATTACTCTCATCAAAATCCTCGCTGACCTGGAGGATGGCTTCCGTAATTTGTCGCTCAGAGGCCACCTGCCCCCGAGCACCTTTTTCTACTACATCGGCCATGTTGGTGACACCCCTTTCGATGTTGTCAACAGACTCATGGAGAGGGGTGAATCGGGTTTGGAGCTCCACGAGACCTGATATGATCTTATCCTGGAGCTCCCTTGGCCTGCCCGTTTTCTCCTCCCTGGACATTTTGGAGCGACGACAAAGTCGATCCCAAAGTTCTTCCAAGGAGTCAGCCACATGATCAAAGAAAGCGCCGATGTTCATCGTAGCGAGGGAGCAATTGGCCGCTCCCGTACCCTTTTGAAGAGCCGACTCAAGGCTTTTGTCGGCCTTACTTTTATCGCGTGGCTTCTCTGTAACGGCGGTAACAGAATGTCCGGAGAGGCCCGCCGTCAACCCCTCCTTCTGCCCTTCGCTGGATAACGACGCGGCGGGAGCAGGGACAGTACTCCCACCGTGCCGGCCCCTGAGTGTCCGATCACTCTGGGGCGGTAAGTCCTTATTCGTTTTGCTGTCCATCATATGTTTTCTACTTATTTGGTTTAACATCGGTGTTTTCCTTCACCTAGATCGGTTGGTAAACAAAACCTAACGAGCCCGATCTGCCCAGGGGGTTGAAGTGCTTTTAAGGCGGCACTCACTCGCTTTTGACGTGGATACTTCATCAGGTTTAATGGAGCATTTTATAGGCCGCTCCCTTCCCACAGGAGCAACCACCCCACCCTCAGTTCCACCGCTGTTTGTCCGCGACTGCTTATTCCCCCCAAAGGGGTTATTCGCAGCTAACCTCAGTACTTGAGGCCATTCCCCTATCCGCAACCTGGGGACGCGCTCGGTGGCAGTCAGCTCTGCCCTTGGAAGGCCGGGGCTGTCCCCCCGACCCCCAAACCGAGAACCTAACCTAACCTAACCTAACCTAACCTAACCTAACCTTGTCACCAGAGCCGGAGGCCCAGCTGATGGAGGGAGCGTCATTGAAACTGGTGCAATATCCAATTCCATTTAAGGAAGCGTTCCTAAGTGCGCAGGAAAAGCACGAAAGAAAAGAGCTTCGCAAGGAGGCTGTCTTCTGGTCGGAGCAGGTTCTAAGTGAAATCATCGGTAGAGTGAAACACACTCTAGATTCCTGAAAAGGAAAAGCATAGTTTTAAGGACTAATTTTGTTATTTTATATATCCTTATTAATAAATACTCACATATTCTGTAGAGTTAGCTGTTAAGAGTAAGTAGCGTGCGTACTTACCATAATCGTTAGTTTGTTAACGATTGTCCACAAGGAGTGGACAAACTTCTATTTTTAAGTCGATAAGATGCAACGGGTAAAAATCCCTAGTTTGTTAGCGGACGTTGCACAAGGAGATACGTTGGAAGGAATCAACAACACACAAAAAATTTACCGAGTGAATAAGGTAAAGTGTTGGTCGTAAACGTCTAAGGAGAAGGCGTGTTTTTATTTTAAACCGTTATTTTATGTTATTCGCGTTTTGTTCCTTGTTTTTAGTTTTAGCCAAGGTTTGGTGACCAGAGAGGTCTTAGCGGGCGCCATGTGCATTATTTGATTTTAAGTTTTGTATTTTGTTTGTTGAACTAGTCACTAAGGTTAAAAGACTAGTCGGCGCCTAGTGTAGTTTAAGCTTAACGTAAGATAGGTAAGGTAATTCTTAAACGAGCAGAAAACACCTTGTAATTGAAAAACCCATGATTCAGTGGAAACATGGCGTGTGAGTGGTTAGTGAATCAAACTGGTGCGTTCGTAATGATAGTAGCTCAAAATTTAAGGTTTAATAGGTTTTAGACGTTATTAGGAAGTTTTGGTACAATTTTGTTATTAAGGGAAATTTCAGGTATAAACACGTTCAGGGGACTTGTCTAAATTGAGTTGTAACAAAAGAAATCGTTAATCGGCATTTTTTCAAAATTTGGTAAAATTGGTAATTAACAAAAATTATTAATGGTTTTCGTAATAAAGGGTGCCCAGCAGTTGAATCACTAATTCTGAGTCCTTAACTAATAAGTTTGACTCTAATTGTTAATTAAGGATTAATTGTACTTACTAAGTGTCGACTGGTATCTACCGACACCGAGGAGGGTGTTTTCGTTGCTTAGTAAGTGCTCTGAAAAAGTTACGCTACCTAGTGACTTACTTTTAGAACGTACCTAAAGGTGCGCTTACGAGACGCGGTGTGGAACGCGCCTTAGGTCCCGAGCAGGAAGGCTCAGCCACATAGATGCCAGATCGTGCAGGACAGCAACGAGAGCAGCGAGGGGCAGAGCCCCCACCGCTCAGCTTCTCGATGCTACGCACACAAGCGAGAACCGCGTACGTGTGCGTGACGTCACGCTCGG